GAAGGCTATAGTTGCTCCTTGACTGGTCTCCAATTCCCATATACTACACCAACACGAAGCCACGTCTTTTCAGCGCCAGGAAGATTTTGCAGAGGATCGCATCACTCTCAGCTATGTCCTACTCAGTTCTGTGCTGCATATTCTAAGGTGTTAAAATGTAACAGGCTACTGCTCCTCACCTGTAAATCGTGGGAGTATTTTACTCAACCATCTTGTCTTCTATTGCTTTAAATGCCACCTGCATGTATGGCGCTCACATTCACTGCACCATTTCTACACGTGGCAATTACCTACCTGATACCAGCAGCACTGATAATAAGCTACTTAATTAATATAATTTATGATACTAATTAAACTAATTATCAAGAATTCTAGCAAAAGAAAAACGCCCAAGTTAAATTCACTTGGGACACAAGGGTATTGAAACCTCAGTTTAGTTCTGCAGCTCTTTCCTTAAAAAAGACAACAATTGCAATTAGGTTTTATATATGCCATTTGCTTCATTTGTCACACGGTTCCAATTATGCATGTTTTAAATGTCTTGAGTTCATTCTCAGAGTTTCACAAGAGGTGGGAAAGTTAAGAGAGAAGCTCCAGTTCATTTATATCTTTTGCTTTTATTGATCACCGGTGTGCAATTAAGAAGAGGTAAACAAAAAGAATGTAGCAGGAGACCTCTGAAAAGATCAACAGTCCCCAAGACTCATATTATTGATTTAATTAAAGCAATGAATAAATCCTTTTAAATACTAGATTTTCACACTTACTACCCGCAGGTTATCCGTAAAAACAAATTCAATAGCAGTGTGAGCGATATGGGGGTTTAGGGAAAGTTTATCACATAACCCCTTCCCCACTAACTCTCTGCCCGGTGACTTCTGTCCCCTAATCCGCACCTCTGACATCTCTCGATTCTGACATTGCGCAGCTTATTTGAACACATATTTTCAAATACTGATATTTTAAAGGTGAATGAGCTATCGGAGGTAGGGGTTAGAGATCTGAAAAACACGGTAAGCGTGCTCATGCCTCGTTCCACACTAATACCATCTATTTACTACAACTTTGCAGAGGAATTCTGGCTCGGCCTGAACAAGACCTATTCCATTACCAAACAAGGGGACTACATCTTACGGATTGAGCTGCAGGACTGGAAAGATAATAAGCGCTACGTCGAGTACGCGTTCAGCTTGGGAGGCCCTGAAACAGACTACACTCTCCAGCTCTCACGGATCTCTGGGAGCATCCCCAATGCCCTGCCGGAGCAGACAGAACTGAGGTTCTCAACTGCAGACCGTGACGTGGACATAATAAATGACTTCAACTGTCCAGAAAACTACCTAGGTATCAGTACGCTGGGTATATTAACACGGGAATGTCTTTGCTACATGAAGGATGGTAGTATGCTTTAGTGGGCAGTTACTGATGTCAGCCTGGCTTTGGATACAGAAAAGAGAGGGCAGCAGCATCTTCTGCTTGCAGGAAAGGGCAGAAGACATTTTCTGTTGGCAGATAGAAGGGTCCTACAAGGCATCACCTTTCTATTTTATAGATAGGTAAAACCGAAGCATAGTGAAGCTGTGAAAATGCCCAACATCAGAAACAGAACTATCAGCACAGGTTGAAATAAAACCCCAAGATGAGATTCTGAGCTATGAAGTAAAGGGCAGCTCTTCCTCTGATGGCTGGTCTGGTGTGGCAGCCCAAGGTCGGATTGTTTAATCCCTCCTTGCAAGAAAACGGAAGGCAAACTGACTCTCAACTCCATTTTGGCTACAACCCAAAAGTTAAGTACGATAGTGAGTTTCCATTCAAAGGCAGATTTTAGCTGTTTGTCAAATATATATGATATAATCGCTCTCAAAAGAGCAAGAGAGATGTAAGGCTGAAGGCATTTCTCCTTAAAGATAATTTGGTTAAAGGATTCTTAATCCTTTGATTTTCTGAAGCTTTTATGTTTTGCTAGTTTATAGCAAAAAGCAAACAATTGAAAAAGCAATTAATGATTAAACCACAGGATACAGAATTGCCCTCCAGACATCTGCTTCATGCAACAAACATTTTGTACGTCATTTTAGGCTTGAAAATTGTTAATGTCTGAAACGATGCTGAGACTGTTACTCAGCTCTAGTGACCATAAAGCAGATGGCCAATGACTTCCAAAGTGCTAAACTTTCATTTTTAGCACAGAGTCACTGCCAGTCCTTTGCAAGCAGAACTGGGCTTACAATTTAAGCTTGTGGTTAAGGACACCAGCCAAAAAAAAAAAAAAGAGAATTTGTTTACTAAAGGCTCTTCAGTCTCCTGCAGATGCAGAGATTTAACTATTTGTACCTGAGAAAAATATCAGCAAATCAGAAAGTCAGTTGTAGAGGGTCACGGGAAACATGAAAGTGTGGAGCTAACTTTGTGGGTGTCCTGATTCAGTGGCAGCATTTGAGTGTGCAGTTTTCTATGCACCACTACTTTTATGTGAAGCAGACAATAACGGGAAGCACATCATCTTTGTGCTGCCCCTCAACTTGCAACTGTAAGTGGGTATATGCACAAGCACCGTTTTATTTTGGTATACTGGGTAATAGTCATTTTTGCTGGAACTGGTCTAAAGAAGACTTATGTTGCAAAGAGGAGCTGTTTACTCGGAAACTGAGCGCAGTATGTTACGGTACAACTGACAGTAACTGACTTTACGATATGTTTCCTTAGGAGGCTGGTGGCACAGTGAATGTGAGGAAACCAACCTCAACGGGAAATACGTCGCACCAAGGTCAAAAGGAAGACTAGACAGAAGAAAAGGCTTATACTGGAAGCCCAAGAAAGGAAGATACTACTTGCTCAAGTCAACCAAAATAATGATACACCCCACAGATTTAAAAAGTTTTGACTGAATGCTCAACCTGATGCATTTCAATTCAGAACGTATACACTGAACATTACTACATCAAAGAAGTCCATGTTATGTTTAACAACAGATGCAGGTCTAAATCCATGAACTGTATGGTGTGTTCTTCAAGACATAAACCTGAGGCATTTGTGATGGTCTTACAGTACGTTCGGTGAGTATTCTCATTCCCCGTAGCCCCAATGTGAATGTGCCGTAACTTTCATGGAGCTTTTACCTACCCAGGATGAAACTCTAATGCCTAGGAATCGACCACCTACTCGTGTATTAACTAGCATCGCTTAGAGGAATGGGTTTTCAGGCTGTTACATTAATTTCGGGGTTGTGTAGAGAACCCAAAAAGTGTTTCAGAGAACGAAGGGCTGGCAAAATGCTATGGAGGACATTTAGGTGTTAATCTATAGGGAAAAAGGGAAATTTTCTTTCGTAAAGTAACTAATTTGATATTTGGGTCACATTATTGTTGCAGAATGTTCCTATGAGCAAATGAAAGATGGGTAACTCTCCATTTTAGGGTTCTGTGTATTTCCAGAGAAATTTTCTGCAGTGTAGCTCAGGCCAATCTTCGCAGAAGCACTGTACTCATACAACTAGAGATGTGTGCACACACATCAAGTAAGCCACAGGACAGGCCTAATCTTTTACATACCACACTTTGAAGAATAACTTGTTTCAGTAAGAAAGTTTAGGTCTTAAGAGCTAAGTTTCAAAGCTTACTGAAATGAGTAAGAGATCTTTGCTTCTTGTTTGAAACGGAATCAGAGCCATCCCTTTGCGACCTTTTAGTACACCTAACTAAGAAATTAAATGAAAGACTAAGTGAGCACACAACAAAACACTTTTCAAATACAATTGCCTGTGGAGTAACTCCAGTGGAGTCAAGGGTACCAACCAACAAACTCTGTAGGCACACCCTACCTGACAGTGTTGGTCCTGCTCCTGAGAACACAGTCACATTTGTTTAACTTCAGCTGCAGAATACTATAATGCATAAGGACTACTGACATGCTCGTGGATGGACGGCCGCGGAAGTGTTGACTGACAAAGACCCCCGTTCTGCGGTTACACTGAGTCATATTGACTTGTATATCTTACCTAACCCTTGTACAGTACGGATTTTTTATCTGAACATTTGCAACCATAGAGAAAATATGTCAGAGTGAAACAACTGTGAACAGAATGTGCTAATTAAAGTAAAATGGCAAAAATACTTTCACTTCTCATGGATTTATTAAAAAGATGAGATCACACAGTGCTGCTCAATTGTACTGGTGTATTGGAATGTTTACTTACCTGTCCAACCTCTATAACTAACTAACTAAATAAATCAATCTTTTGGACACGAGATCTGGAACTTGACTAAACTCTTTCTTGTAAGCTTTGGTTTACAAAAACCTGGTTTGCATTTATCTAACTTTCACAACACGTAGTAACAGATTTGGTGAGTAAGTTGGTGAAATTACTCAGCTGAAGATGACAATTCCACTCAGATGTGTAACGTCTTCAAAGATACCGTGAAAAAGCTTTAAATGAACAGTGGTACATAATGAAAAGAAATTTGCTCCGTGCCTGGGCTTAGTTATAGAAAGGTTATTGTTTCCCAAGATACTTTAGAAAAATTTCTTATCTTCCAGATCTTCAGATTTTTTTTCAAGCATTGTCAACAAAGAAATTGCTTTTAAATCAAAATAGAAATATGAACGAAGGGATTATGCATTTGCCCCCACTTTAAAGGAAAAAAGTAAGTCACTGGAAGTGTCAGAAAGCATTAAAAACAGTAAGAGAATGATGACCGTAGAGACAGACAAAGAAAAAAACTACATAGAACTGAAAAGAATTCAACTAAATTTCACTGTGAATTTTGGGAAATGGAGAAACCTCTCTCATGTTCTTGTTCACAGCCAAGTTTTATGCAAATATATTCGTCCCTTCACAACTGTGTATTTTCTGATGTGTCAGTCTGGACCCTTTTTTGTGCCTCTGGCACAGCAGATCTACTGATACAGCAAGTTTTGCAACACATCAGATGATAAGGGAGGAATTTCTGGACTTGCCAGTCTCAGGCCCTGAAATGTGAAACATATTTCAAAACTCTAACCTGTATGTGGTATTTGGAACGTAGACATCCCTGGCAGGAAACTCCAGGATTTCTCTTGTAGGTCTAACTCTGCTGTCTGGGTAAAGTTTGACTTGCAGCAACTCTGGAGTTAGACAGTAATGGGGATTCTCTGGAGCTGGAGATATGTCTATCTTTAATTGAGCTGTAAGAAGAAAATTATTTCATTACAGTAAGTATAAGTTAATTTAAATCAAAAAGCATATTCATGTTTTGTTTCTTCAGGTTAATATCTTAATATTAATTTCATAAGTAAACAAATGATAAATTAGAGCCAATGTGGTTTTGTTAAAAACCTGTGACAGTGAATCAAAGTGATATCTGGGGTACCAGTTAATAAGAACCAACAAAAATCATGTATCTTAACAAGTCCCAAACGCTGTTCTCATAGGCACGTTGGGGAAATACAGTCTAGATAATGCCACTGAGAGGCCCAACTATAGTTAAAAACAATATACTCAAAGTCTCATCAGGAATCTCGCCTATCAAACCAGAAGGAAACATCAGGAGTTGCTGAAAGCTAATCTGCACCAAGATTAGTGAATATTTTCCTTCGCAAGTCAGCTGACAGTACTGACAGCACACTTATTGTTGATGGATGGCACTGAGGTTGAAATGATTGTAAAAATTTGGAAGACAGAAGAGTTGGAGAAACGACATCAAATAACTAAGGTGAAACATAAGCAAGAGCAAAGGACTTACATTAAGAAGGAGATGGGAAACATACAAACATTAAAAAATAAATAATTGGCGTGGATCAACTCTTTCGAAAAGGGCTGGGTGACAGCAGTAACAATAAGCCAACGTCCAGAAGAAAGCTACAACCATTCTAAGTGTCATGTGTAAGACACTGGGGAGAAATTCACCTGCTTTGCCTGGCATGAGGTCTTAAAAGGAGCAGCATAACCAGTTTAGAGCACTGTGCTTGAAGAAAAGCATGCAGAGATTAAAGAAGCCCTAGCAGAGAGCAACAGACAATTTTAAAACCACAACCTTCGACGAAGGGTTGAAAAAAATGAGATTGGTTAGGCTACAAAAAGGAGGAGTAAGAGTGAACTAATAACAGTATCCAAGTACTTGAAAGGTTGTGATAACTGCCCTGAGGGCATGACAGACCATAATCAGATTAATTTGCAGCAAGATAATTTTGCAAAGTTTTCTTAATACCTAACCTCACTACAAGGACAGATGAGTGCTCGGAGAGATGATCTAAGGAAGCGGTAGGATTGCTGTCGCTGGAAATTTTTAAGAACAGGTTAAGTAAATATTGTCAGGAATACCACAGGTCAGGGACCAGTGATGTTGCACTGCTGGTGTGCCAGCGGTTTTATTTCCCTTTCTCAAACAGAGGTGGAGTCTGTTCTTATTAACCAAGTGGGAGTCAGGAGAGAGATCTCCTCTCAGCTAGAAAGTAGTATTTTACTCCGGAAAACAGAGGCTCCTCAGCCCCTAAAGCAGTTTTGGGGTTTGCACCCTCTTCTCACAGATACGACTCCCAGTGTGACAGGAACATGTACCAGGGAAAATCCTGCCAAAATGCCGTCTTTAGCGCTCACGGTCTACCAGGGATTGCTGTTAATGATTTCTTAGGGTTTTTTCACCTGCTCACTTCTAAGAACTGGGTGGCAACTGGGAAGGCCTAACTAAACACCTTAACACACTTGAGGCAAAAAGATCTTGTTCAATACCTGTGATAGGTCTCAATCTCCGTAACACCGATGATGGGCGTCTCATGTCAGCCAGGAACTTGTACAAATCTTCATCGCTCAGGCGATCACCCTCCTGTTGGATGTTGGGAAAATGGTTATCTACACAACCCTTCAGGATCACGAGAGAATAAACAAACCATCTAATACTATAGTCTCTTTCCTCTGATATTAAAATGTACCTTCCCAGAACAAGGTGGTAAGATTAACATGCTAAATTACAGTTCATTTCTCCATCCTTTTTCCTTATTAATCATCATGACAGCTGCAGGAACTTCTCATTGAAAACCTTTTCTCTGCCCATCAATATTATCTTTTTCAAAACTGAGAATGGCTGTTAAAAGATTTCTCCAAAATACCCAATTTTTAGCAAGTATAATAGTTTGAAAAAGTATCCGTCAGTCAGGTAGTGATCCTCATTCCTTCTCCTCTGCTTTTCTTTGGTGTGAGTCTAAAAGAGTTACTTTTCAGAAGTGTTAAGAAACAGTAGGAAGTGGAAGGAGTCCGCTGTCAGTCTTCCTTCTGCCACATTCTAGTAGCTCAGAATTTCATTAATTTTGGAAACATTATAGAAAATGTGATTCTGCCACCTGCTAACTACCCAAAAGCAGAAGATATCTGATAATAAAGTTAATAAATCACAATATAAAAAAAGAAGCAAGTGGAAGGAGAAAAACGCTGGGTAGATTCAATTAATTGTACTCAACAGGAGAAAAAGAAGGGAAGATAAAAAATAAAAAGATACAGAAGAATTAGAAACTTAAAATCTTAAATCAATGTTCAGCAATTTTTAAAGGACAAATTAATAAAACAAACTGTTTCGAAGTTGTCAAGTGAAAACAACCTCAACAAAGTCAATAAATATATGCTTTTGTAAATCATTACTAACTTAGTGAACCGGTGTATCTTACAAAGAGAGCTGCAGAACATGGTCAGTGGAATGGCTGCATTAGCCATACATTAGTAATACATTCTTTTTCTTACATTCTGCATCTACAGATGCAGATAATCAGCGAATACATTACAGAACTGGATTTTATTAACCTCCCTAGTAAAAGGAACTTCCTGCGCTGCTCTGTGTCACCGAGACCCCAGAGATACCATTGGCAGAACCCAATTTCGGTCACACTGAGTTTCATGAAAGCACGGAGCAGCAGAGACATGAGTCACCCTCCACTTACATGGTTTGCACCACGATAACTTCATGCCCTTGATGACATTTCTCCTTATTTACACTACTATATTTAAGAGCAGACTTTGGATGGCTATCCACAGTGAAAGTGGCACACAACCAAAACAATCAGAAAAAAAAAAAAAGAAAAAAAGAGCTTAACCAACTTTCAATATATAGAATTTAAATCTTTGTATTCCCAATGATCGAGAAATCAGCCCAAAAGATATCTGGTTGTACACTATTAAATCCCTTTTTATACACAAAGGTGACATTGAAATAACAATTTTCCTTAACCAGATATGGCATTAAGCAAATCTCAGCAAAAATTAATGAACGAAAACCATTTTCTAAGCTTAACTAAAAATTTTATTCCGTTCAATCATGTTTTCTACTGCTTCTCAGGAAAATCCCAAGCTCTGGCTAAGAAAATCTGCCACTCAGCAAAGCCATATCAGACGTGAAATGCTCTGTTTTCTCGGGCATCCCTGGATGTGTCCAGGGAACTGATGACAACCTCAGACCACACTGATGAACCTGGCTCTCAGCCAGTTGATGTTTCAGTGGGATTGTCTATCACCCAATGAAACCAAAGGAGTCAACTGACCATCATGATAAAGGCTATGCAAGTCTTAGACTAGGGCGAATATCCAGAATACTTTTTGGCACATACTAACCCAAAGAAGTTATCCTCAGTTTTTGTGAACTTGCTTCTATGAGCATTTTTCCAAACATGTTTACCAAAAGACCAGGCAGTGATTTTTCCAATGCATGTTAGAAAAATCTGGAGCAAAACAAACTGGTGTTCTTCTGGGGAGACCCAGTTCTGTTAGCTGGAGTGGTAAAGTCACTATGCCATTTTGATGCGCTATCATTCACGTCAAAACCAGCTCAAAATTTCAAATTACATAACATAATAACAGTAAATTTATTGAAAGAATCCACCAATCGACTGTGGACCCACTGCAGGCAGAATTAAGCACACGCTATAATAAACCCACTGCGTGCTGCTCAAAGTTATCCTGTGATCAGGGAACAGACATTACATGCATCGAAAGCATCAGAAACGAATCATTCAGGTCTAAGCTGATTTCACACGATCAAATCACTCTGTCCAAGGAGCAACTCCTTAATTAGATAGCTTCATACAATACCTGTTTAAAGAAGTTTGTCACTGTCAAAGTAGCTGGTCTAAAACTGGTCAAATTGCAAGCCTCATCCCCACTTGTGGTCCTTTCTAACGAACGCCTCCCGACAATACTGGAATTCCGCCTCTCTGACCACGATCCTTTACGTTCTTCAAAAAATACAAAATAAAGAGGGAGGAATTAAAAAAAAAAAAAAAAAGAAGAAAAACAATTGTCCAAGAGTGTACTTTTGTTCCAACCAGGATTTTCTACACAAGAAGATAGCTGCTGCTTTTGGAAATTATGCAATAAGCGTGATAGAAGAGGTGGTTATGCTAAGACAATCGCACTCCTGAGGCATCAGAAGGCTATGAAGCACAGCTGACTACTTCTGCTCCTCTCACAGCAACCTCACCCCAGCGCCTTGCTGCTATTACAAAAGTCTTTATCGTGTGGAGATTTATGTATTTCTCTTGCTCTGAAAGATGATGAAGTTGGCAGTTTTGGGGATGCTGAAGAGCAGTTTCAGATGAGCTGTGTGGTTCGCAAAGATTAATCCACTCCTTTGGAAAATGTTCATCAGCCTGTAACGTGCTCTCAGTTTTAGAAGCCTGGTTTTAAATAATATAACAGATGGTTTGCTTGTAAAATCCTTGAAAGATAAATCCATTTGTTATCATGGACTTTTCTGTTTTATTTCAACCATGACCCAAGACTATCAGAAGGCCTAGGGCAGGGGGAGGAAAGCGATAAAAGGAGAAATAGCAGCTAGAGGGTATGAATCAAGACTTCAGTAAACTCTGGATTTGTCCACATTCCCTCATGCAGATGCCCGATACCGTACCTCCTGTGCCAACTTCTACTTCTGTGGAATCTCTTTCCAAACTTCCAGCGCTGCTCACGATGTTCATTAAATGAATGGCTGTCCAGGCGAAAGGCATTCGATACTTGCCTAGTCTTTGGCAAAACTGTTCTGCCTGGCATTTCAGTTTCTCCAACTTTTCCTTATTCTGTGAAGACAATATTCAACCCAAGAGATTAAAAGGAGAGGAACAGAAAAATAGGTTCTTTTAGCAAAATCAGTATCTTTTCTAACTTGCAATGATTTTGTGCTTCAATAGCACCTTCTAGAGGAGGATCGCTAAGCGCCAGGCAATCAGCCTTCTGCTTCACAAAACTGCCATCAGGCCAACAGTACCAGACACAGGACAGCCCCCGAGTCAGAGCAGCTGGCTTCATGCTCTTCAGCCTCCTGAACAGCCTGACAAATCTCAGTGAGCTCATCTGCCCACTACCATTTTAAGAAAAGCTGAATTTTACTCGGTGAAGTCTGAAATGGTCTTTCTTGACATCATTTTATGCAGCAGGTGCTCAGATCATCTAGAGTTGCATAGGAAACTGAAAACATTCCTCAAATAAGCACTATCGTACTCATTTTATTGAGGGGAAAAAAGGATTAAGAAATAACTTTTCCGTGATTCTGCATATTAAAGAGCAATTTTTTGCTTTAGAACGGTTGTTACGTACAGGCCTTTAAGCAGTTCCCAGGCAGGGGACTGGGAGCGCTCTGGTGCTCACATTCTTCTAGTACAGGACGGGCTTATGCACCTTGCTGGGAAGGAGACCTTGAAAAATCACCTTTTCACCTACATTCCCAAGCATCCCACAAATCCAGTTCCAAAATTTCACCTAGGTAAGCGTCAACTTATCGATCACAGGCAATGTGGTTTTTTTACTTCTGTTATCTATATACCTGAGGTGAAACATCCACTTTCCACATTGTGGTGCAGTGATATAAAGACAGAGATAGACAAAAAGAATGAACTTCTTCAGCTAAGTATATATTAGAACTTTAGGAAGGCAAAACTTTGTTAGAGTTTGATCAGAACTAACAAACGAACACCCCAGCTCCTTTCAAAAAAGCATAATGGAAAGCCTCAGCCACAGGAGGGGCTGGCATCTCTGTTCTGCCCTTCCTCCAGTCCTCGCTATTACCCTTTAATCTTCACTTGGCTCAGCCCAATTGTACAAGAGATTAGAAACAATTTCTGAGTCTCATAAGCAATGCTTCACATTCTACGTACCCAAGGTTTCCTTTCCAAGCTCTCTTGCACATCTTAAAAACAGGAGTTGTATGAAAATAACATACTGAGCTCAAGTTCAGAGATTTCTCCTTCTGACTGCTAGTCAAATCAGAGATCTGCTATGCTATAACCTCTGTTGTATTGGAGAAAGCACTTCAGAAAAGCAAACAGTAGCCTGTGGGCAAAAAGGTGGAGGAAAGGCTATAGCGCCACTGAATTCTGAAAGTGCTACCAGCATTCCTGTCTGCTCCCAAACCTACCAAACCTGCAACTCCCACCCAGACTCCCATACACTACAGCCAGCAATAAGGAATAAGATGGCATTCCCTCCTGTGCGGAAACCTCTGCTTTTAGTCCTGCAAGGAGACAGGCTGCATTTAAACAAGCAAAGGGAAGACAAAGAATCAGTCAAATTGGGGCAGGTCCATGCCATCCACTGCACTTCAAAACACCCAGGACTTTACTGCATGGGACAATGCCTGAACTACTGGAGGCAGGAACTAAAGGAACATTGTTAATGAAAAAACCAAACACTAAGGTATAAAAATTTAAAATTACTCTTACTATATGTAAAAAAGACAGCTTCATCCTGCTGTTGAGTGTGCCCTTCTTTACAGTATTAAGCAAAAAGAAAAATCAGCAGAAAATAGCAAAAAAAACCAAACCAGAAATGCACTGCAATTCAAAACCAGGCGTGATGGAGAATCTCCTGTTAACATATTTCATCCACTTTATAACCCTTCTAGAGGACGGTAGAGGTACTGTGATGGGGTTAAGCTCCAGAAGCAATGGAAAAGTTGAAATTTTACTGCAAATTCACATCAAAGGCTGCCTTCACTTGACCCAGCATAAGCACACAGCTGATCCTTTGGGACAGGGAAACACAGATGAGTGAGTTTGATGGTAACCACACATCTCCCCTGTCAGCTACAAAAGCTGATGACCTTTAAGTACTCTACCCCAGTAAGGCATCAAGATTCAAGGTCTTTGACTCTTCTTTGGCCTTTAGAATTTGACTAGATTCTTAATTAAAAATGGATCCTTCTAACAACAGGAACAGTATCAATGGCTGCTAAGTCCAAGGTAAAAGAAAACAATTTATGTTTAATTTGGTAATAACAAAAAGCCTTAAAGCTCTTGTAGCCAAATTTAACCAAAACATCAAAAAAATTCTTACCTTTGCTGCATCCGATTCTTTAAAAATCATGTAAGGCTCTGCACACTCCCCAATATCTCCCTGCTGTAATACTTTTTCCAGCTGAGAAGGGAAAATGCACCATTGTAAGGACATGTATCCAGCAAGGATTGTTAAATTAAACAAACACTAGGAAGCAAAAACATTCTTTCAAGAGTTAAAGCCCGATTTCCCTTTGTGAGTCAGGGAACAAGCACTGCACTCAAGTTGTTAGAGCCATTAAGTTCCCAGATCTCCAGCTCTAAATGAAGCACAAGTGTAAAATATAGGTTCCAAGGGAACATATACCACTTCACTTTGGTTTGAACGATTCTAGAGACACTTTCAGTTCGTTTTTAAGGTCTTAAAGACATCTTATGCTGTCTTCAGCATCATCTTTTTCAGAAATCTGTTCTTATTTGTGTTCTCCATATTAAGGACCCATTGCAGCAGCACAGAAAGGTAACTCAGATGCACTCAGCTAAAACAAGCACGATTTTAAATAAGTGTGTTTTCAAATCAAATAATGAAATAATTTAAATTAGCCAAAGAGTACACGTTTTCTTTTGAAGTCTCCAAGTAACTCAGTGCCTCTTGAAGAACACAAAACTGCTTACCACTTAGTTTCTAATAGAACTATCTTCCCGATCACACGCATGAAGACTGTTTCTTTCAGATCCATCCTGGCCCTTCCTCCTACGCCCGACACTCTGCACGTGCTGCTATTGGCTTCGAATATCTTTAAACTTCTCCCATGCTTATAAAACGCCATTCATACTTGTCTGCTAGCAGAACTCCAAGAGGCTACCACAATACAAAGAACAAAACTACTTTCCATCAATTCTTGCCCTCCCTGGTGAGTTTATGCTAGCAATAGCAGCTGTCTGAAAAGTGGTTTCCCAGTGAGTGAGACCCATGTGAAAATTCACCCGATGAGGCACGCTACGCATCTGTCTTATTTATCCCCGACTATATCCTTTTCATCATCAAATCAAAAAACCACACAAACCACCAGCTCCTCTTAGATCACTGGTTTTACAGCACTAACATGCAGTCACAAGCTCTTTCGGACAGATCCCCATCTCATAAATATAGGGTTCTCTCTTCCTCCTATCTTGTAAAAAATCAGAGGAGTAAATATGTGTGCACAGGCAAAAGATGATTTTTAGAAGGAATTCAGAGAATCGTACCAAAAACTGGAGATCAGAATATGCTCCAACGCTACTGAAAGCCTTATTCTTACCTCGGACTGTTTTATCATGCCACAAAGCCTTAATTCATTTTTAAAAGCTTATTCCTCATGTAAGAAGCAGTTCATGAAGAACTTGCCCACGCCTCAGTCAAGAGGGTTCTCAAAACACAGCATATAGCTAGCAGCCACTGTAACCACTCCCTGCGAACCGAAAGCATGCACTGAACTCCCCTTTTTACAAAAGGATGATTTTTATGCAGACACGAGCCAAAAAACCTGATTCAAATGCCAAACTGAACTAGTAACATTTGTGCGCTCATTGAATCAAATGAAAGAAGAGAAAATAACTTTTATCTTTGTATACTTTATTCCAGGAGTGACCAATGTGGCATTTTATTTCAGTTATGGATTTCACTCTCTTAGCAATTTCGATTCTTAAAGACATTTGAAAATCTGGCTTAAGGTCATATATCATTTTTGAAATGAGATTCAGATCAATATGTATTTTTAAATCACTCACTTATCTGTCATCTTAAGGAGTCAGCACATTGTTTCATACAAAAACCAAGGTCAAGCCCCAGAAAGCTGCTCTATATCAAGCAAACCTTTGTGCTTTTTTCAATTTCTCAATAATACAACAACGCGTATCTCCACTGAAGCATTCCTTTTACAAAGGAACTCAACGTACTGAAAATATCTGAAATGAAACAGAATTCTGTGGTGTCAGTGTTTACGCTTTTGAGAATAGAATTCTGGTCTCCAAATGTAAATAAGAAGTCAACTAGTCAGGCAGATTTGTTCATGTTTTATTTTAAATAGAAAACAAGAGACGATAATAATGTAAATTTCTCTGGCATTTCTTACCTTTATTACCAGAAAGACATCTTGAGAGGGATAAGTGATAGAAAAAATGGCAGATCTGGCCAGTGTGGATATAGCAGCAGGGGGCACGTGTGGACGAAGCATTCCCTTCATTTGTTCAGAGTTTAAATCAAAGTAGAAATTTTCTGAAATCTAAAGAAGAAGTTGAGTTGGGGAGCTTCAAGCATTAGTTATAATTTTTTTTTTTAGTAAACTGTTCATAAAAACAACAGACAATTTCAAAAGACAAGTAAAAAATCTAACAACATCGTCTCCTTTCAAATCATGCATAGAAAGAAAAACAAAAAGGCCTTTTCATTAAGAAATCAAGGCAGGACAGTGGGAAGGGAAAAGGGAAATGGAGCAAACAATACACACTACCTATAAAACTTCCTCCACCTCCTGTGAGGTAGGTAGTTCCATCACAGGACTAGAAATTACAATTGCTATGTGAATTGAAAATATCAAAGCATCAAAATAGAAAATTATCTTTAAGATCATTCACAGAAAAAAAAAACCAAAGCAAAACAACACATCTTGAAGGAGAGACTGAGCTTTCTGCGCTGAAACACCAAATCCTTGACTATATCAAGGCTTCAAAGTCAAAGTGAATGTGAGCTGGTTATCAACACCAGAGGTCACTAAAGAACTTACTACATGAGAGAAAAAAAAAAAAATAGAGTAATGAGATGATAAAATTGGCTTATGAAATGTGATTTAAATATTAAACAAAGTTCACATAATATCCCACATACTCTCATCTACATAACTTAAAACTCAATGCATTAAATTCAAGTCTTAAAGAGATAAATGTCAAAATGCATATTTTTAACATTATTCTCTCTACTACTGCTAATATCTTGAATAAGGAAAACTAAGAGACTACTCAAATATTAAATATAGAACATAAATAGGGGAATAAATGTATTTTGCATTTCCTATAACTTAGATCTTTAAAAGACTGCACAGTTTTGTTTCAATTTTTAGCAATTTTAGCATGTATGACTTTCTTGTGCATTATTAAAATGTTACTTGGACACACACCATGCTGAATCATGAAAAAGAGATTAAGAAAGTCATAAAAACTTAATCTAAATAAAAGGTTTCAGTTACTTAAAGTCTCTCTGGGGAAGAGACTTTTGAAAGCCAAGATTGGACAATATATATATTCTGATTTCAGGCACTCACATATTAGATAATATTTTTAGAAAAGTGGTTATACTTCAACTGTGTTACTAAGCAGAAGAAGAACACACAAGATGGTTCATGAAATGCCTTCAATCATTCGTCCAACCGCTAGTATGTCACTGTATTCATAAAGGTTCGTTTCCAGAATTAATTCCTCCTTTTTTTTTTAATACAGGTTTGTTATGTTTGGTGGAAATGTCATCATTCAAGTAATTAAAAACCTACCTTTTTCTTTTCTTTAACATCATACAAAGCCAAACTTGCAAAAATGGGCTCAATTTCTATTTCAAATCTTAAAAGAAAGAAACACATAACATCAGTTGACTTGCATTTTGTAAGAAAGAATAACCTACCGTCTCCCCAAATCCTTCCTGGATGATGCCTGACCACTGTTAAGCCAAG